CTGGTACTACCTCCTAGAGTAAACAACCCAGAGAAGAAGATACAGTGCAGGTAGGGCAGTGGTTTTTACCTCCCTTTCCTTCATGGCATAGAATTATAAGTGACCTTTTCACACAGTTCCTGACTTGTTCATGAGTAATTTGGAGGCCGCCTGTATGAGCAGAGCCTGGGACAGACTTTAAAGTCACTCCATGACAAGTGGACAAGCTTAAATGTTCAGTCACCTGTTGTGACCAGGGTAGCTGGGAGTTTGGATGCGCAAGCATTCCCTTGTGAAATTAGGGAAGTAGAAAGGCATGCAGAAATTATATGCACAAATTTGAGGGTAGTGTTGGAAAATCTGGTCTCCAGTATCTTTTCAAATCATCTAGTAAAAAGGAGTCTATGGCTTTTGGAGACTTGTTAATGAAAGGCTAAATTTTATGAATCTCCAGTCTAAAGTCTGCTCATATAACTGATATGCTTTTTTTTACTGCCTAAGAATTTCCGTTGCATACACAGCAGAAAAACAAACAAACACAATTCTCTGTTATTTCCCTGAAAACCAAAGTCCTCTTTCCTAGCAAGATTAAGTTGTCGACTAATCTTAGAGCAAACACTTTATTTTAATCTATCATTGTTTTCTGACTGTGGGTTTAGCAGAGGTCAGAAAAAGAAATTCATTAAAGTGATCGCGCATTTGTTTTTCTGAAAGCACATCAGAAGATTAATGCTTTGCCAAAGAAAATAAAGAAATACAGTAGTTCTTTTAATACACTTCAGCTAAATAAAGTCTTAAAATCACATGCCTTGGCCCAGATGGGGTGTTTGCAGCATAAGGTACAAGTCGTATAATTTCTACTATCTAAAAACTGCTTAAATGAGCTCAGCTTCAGCCATGCCATTTGTTCCACACCTGAGGTGAAGTAACTCTGGTCTCTTCTCTGATGTAGAGCCATTGGAGAGCTGACTGCCAGTGTGTTTGTGCAAGTCTTTTTGCTTATATAAAGAACCCATTTAAGCTTCTCCACCCAAGAAATTCATGTTGATTTTGGATAATCCCTGGGCGATTTTATTCTGTAAAATAAATAAATAAATCTTCCAAACCTGTGACGCAGCTCAACTCTCACATATTTTGAACTATTGGAAGAGTACCATTTGTGTTGGGGAAACATGAACTGACACGAGGCATGGGCAATTTTATATTTCTCGAGAAGAAAAATAGGATGCATATTTCAATATAGGGTTATGTGACATTGGAGTTTCACCTGACAAGAGTGCAGGGTCAGTCTGTGATGAGGAGAGTTTTGCGTGTGGATCGCCAGACCCCACACTGCACGCTCACCCTGCAGTGTGGCTTCTCTAGGAGTAGTGCCAATGTGATTTGGTTTGGCAACAAACCAGTATTTCAGAAGAAAAGGAAAAGTTGTATTAAACAGCTGAAAGAAGCCTCTGGGGTCAGCATTGGCTGTGAGGACTCACTTTCAGTCTTAGAGAGATTGTATGTGTATGTGGCCAGTAGACGCGGGAATCTGAGCATCCTGGCTCTGAGTGGTGCTGAGCACGGCTGCGCTGAGGATGCTTTGGCCCAGTGCAGTAGAACGGGTCTCTGCGGTCATCATCAATCATAACTAACCCATCCGATTAAAAATCGCTTCTGCAAGCTCTGCTCTGCTCTCCCCTGCTCCCTTAAGAAAGCACTAGTGCACAGGCTTGAGTTGGGTATGCTGAAGTCCTAAACTCAAGTCTGGATAAATGAGGAAAAAGCCCTTATTTTCACTTTACTCTTAACCCCCACCTGTATGATGCATATCCTTCCTCGGGGTTCTTGCTTTGGCAACAAAACTGGTTCTGAATAGACATGTCTCTGCTGAAATCAGTAATAGCTATAAATCTTGCCCTGAATCTCGACGCTGCTATTTATTAGGTAACTAAATATTTAATTAGATATCTAATGTCTTAAATAACTGAAATAATTAACTGTATTTGTCTAACATAGTTATGAACCTTAACTTGGAAAACGTTGAGACTGGGCTAGACAGTCTTTGCTGTATTGTTTATTAATTGCGTTGCAGCAATGTTCAGCATCTCTTTTAGCAGATGTGAATTCGTGTAGTGAAAAGCAGCCGTTAACCTCATGAGATTGAACAAGAATAAAAATTTGGTTTGTTTCCTGCTTGGTTTCTGGGCTCTTGTGAACCATGAGAAGTTCTCTAGGAGATTTATACGTCTACTTTACCTTCTTTTCCCTTGCTCTAACCTGGAAATAAGCTGAAATTCTTTCAGAATCACTTCTTTTCAAGAACTAAAGCTATGAATGGAATGTCAAACATTAAAAGACGTGCTGATAAATCACTGGAGATGGCAGTGCCTGAGTAAAACAGTATGGAAATGGTAGCAAATGTTTACAAAGGAAAATTGACCTGCTCAACCCAACACACGGTAACATACATATAGTCAACATAACATACTCTTTCACTTGTTGCTGTATCCAGTGGGCCATCATATTTCTAGTATTCTGTGGTTTATGTGTGTTATATATACCCTTAATTAGACTTGCAATGTAGACAGCCTACTCCTGCATGAGGTTAAGCTGCTGTGTAAATAAATAAAAAGTAGGAAAGACAGCTTTTGCTAAAAATAGAAACTAAGTTTAAAAACAATGTTTTGGCCTTAGGCTTTTACTTAGGGTTTTGGAAAACAGAAAAAGCTCTTTGTTTTCCATAACTTGTAGAAAGCTTAATAGGCAAAATATTACTTCTCATCTAATTTTGCATTCCTTGAGTGTGTTTCAGTAAACCCCTTTTTCATTTAAAGTAAACTACTATAAATTATGATGGGATGTGATCATTAGTAGTTTTAGTAGAAGTATTAGTTTAACTGAAGAATTTTGTTGTGACCTCTCTGGTAATAGTTTAAGCTCAGAAAAAAAGGCATCAGAACACATGCTTTAGCAATTATTTTTCTTCAAAAGGTTGTGTTTCCTACAGATGATCAAAAAGGCAATATAGCGCCAGCCCACGTAGGCTACCAATTGATACTGTCACTGTCAACCCCCCAATAACTTCACTACAGTAGCATTAGTCATTTTTAGCATTTGAGGTTACTGACCATTTGCCATCAAATTTACCACACGCATCTTAAAAAACCAGTCAGCCTTTATAATTTGATGAACGATGTTCACAGACAGAGGCAGAAAGGCTTCTGTTATCACTTTCTCCAAGCAGGCACAAAACCAGCTATATCTGAAATGGATCTATGCTGCTAGCTAACTTTCTCTTACAGTAGTTTTTCAGTGCTTTTCAGTCGCTTCAATGTATGTGTCTTTACAGTGTCTCTGCCTGATGGATACTTTCTTCCACATTGATTTTTCACACAGGGAACTGATGCAGAGGACATCAAAAGAAACCAAGCGGGAAGTTAAACACCTAATACTTGGTGGGCTGGTTAGGGCTGTGTTTGTGCTACCTCTGTTAGCTGCTCCTGAGCTGTTAGAGGTGGGTGGCTTTTGCCGGGAACCTATATGTTGTCTGTAGGACCATGGCTCAGTAATGAGCCAGTCCCCATCATGTGTCTGAACCTTGCTGCAATGAGATTTGGCTTGTTCCAGACTAAAGCTGCATTGCAAGTCAACATGTAGGGAGTGTAAAAGATCAGGGGTTTAAACTGGAGTATGAAATTGAGCCCTGAGATAATAGCATGGATTTAAGAGACTAAGTGATATTAGTACCAGTGCATCTCTGGTACTATAGCTTCAGATAAGCTATAGGCATACATTCCTTCATGCTTTCTGCCTCTTTTCTTTCATTTTTTCAGTATTTCTTCTTACAGTCTTTTCCATCAAGTAGTCCATCTTAAATTGGAGTGGTGTATCCTTAATATAGCTTTTAGTTCAGTTGTAGAGCACTTTTCTAGCAGATGAAAGAGCTGTGAACCCCCGTAGATTGGGGAACTTGAGAGCCATGTCAGCCAGCTCATGAGCAAGAGTTAAAGATGCCCAAATTGCTGTCAATTGTTAGAGGCACCAGATCATTCTTGTCTTCTTGACTGGCCAGGAAGTGAGTAGCGAAGTCCTCGTAAGTGATTGCCCAGGCTCCTTTAGGAGGTCCCTGGCAAAACAGGAATGAAATTGCCCAATAACCTAGAACCATGAAGCTCTAACTTGATCTTCCTTTTTGTAACTGGATTGAGAATGATAAGAACCTGCCTAAATAGGGGTAGTTTATGTAAGTGCTAGTGCTTTTAAACTAAAAGAGGGTAGATTCAGACTAGATATGCGGAAGAAATTTTATACAGTGAGGGTGATGAAACACTGGAACAGGTTGCCCAGAGAGGTGGTGGACGCCCCATCCTTGGAAACATTCAAGGCCAGGCTGGATGGGGCTCTGAGCAACCTGATCTAGTTGAAGATGTCCCTGCCCATTGCAGGGGGGTTGGACTAGATGACCTTTAAAGGTCCCTTCCATCCCAAAGCATTCTGTGTTTCTTTATGTTGACACATATGCATTTCATATTTTTCTTCATTCCATGGGACTGTTTTGTGCATCTTTATTTTAAGACAGGAGATTTTGCATATCTGAAGGTTCTTAGTGCATAATAACATATATGTTAGTTTGTCTTGAGGGAAGGGACTCTTGTTCCTGACCAGTATTGCTATTGTAGGTCCTGATCTCTCAATGTAAAGCTGGATTGATTTAAACTGATCCATTGCCTTGAGTTTGGTCTTGTACTGAATGAAGGGAAACACAATGCTAGATGATGTGCCATCAAGTTCCACATGTTTCTGTGTCCTTCCCTGGTTCCCCAGCTACGCATAAGGCTTCACATCCTGTACATGTGATTCATCAGTCTATATTTACCAGTGGTGGTAACTGTAAATTCAATTTTTAAGTTTGTTTTTTGTTGGTTTTTTTTAATTAAAAAGTTTATTTATTTCAGAGTTTTCCAAAGAAGTGAAAAAAAAATGAGCTATTTGAAATTTCTATTATTAAAAAAAAGGACTTCTTTTCTTTTATGTTTCAGACACAGATATTAAGGAGCTAGAGGATGTTTTTGGACTTAACGGACAAGTAGAGCATAAGCTGAACTTCCTCAAAAAGAATGTATCAAAAGATATAAAGCTGGTACTGATTGCTCATTCTATTGGTTGCTACATCACACTGGAGATGATGAAGCGAGCATCAGAACTTCAGGTACAACAACCTTATAGAATGGGAGTTCTATTAGCAAAGCAGCGCACGCGCTTAGCCTATGGGTAATGCCATGTCTTTCCTGTGGAAGCTCTATTCTGCTATACACAAACTTTCAACTAAAATGAAATAAAAACCTTAATGACTAATCCTAATAACATATAATAAAGTAGTTTGATGGAAAATAAAATTCTTACTCTGAATTTGGACCTTTAAATGCCCTTGTAATATAAATGGTTAATAATGGTGATAAATATATGTAGGACTTTCTTGTTGTCTTCTTATCTTTAAATAATTTATAAACAGATCACTAGATATTTGGCAATTACATTATGTTACTACACCAAAAATTAAGACTGGTTATGATTTTAATAGCAGCTTCTTATCTCAAGGCAAGCAGATTGCTGGCTATATATGGGGAAATGTATGAAAAAGAATAGTTATATAAATTGTGATAAGTACTACAATGAAGGCTGTTGTTTTTAAAATCTAATACATATGGTTATGTCATTGCTTCTGCAACTCAGTCGTGGTTTGTGTAACTCGATGCGAGTGGCAGGTGTTCCTGCATGTTCTTGTGTATCTGACCATTTTTCTTTGTCGCTGTGAAGCAATGAGAAGGCTGAGGTAGGACGGTGTCCTTGCAACTCTGGAAATGGCAAACTGTTAGTGTTCAGTAATAACTCTATCTACTAGCCGATAATGAATGAAGAATACTGAATTTTTATTCTTAAACATTCGCTCTTGCTAAATTACTGCCTTTTCCTTTACACTATAAAATCTTCAGTGGAAGGAAGTGCAGTGTTAGCGTAAAGTCTGTGTTTAATATGTGCATGAGTAGGTTCTTCCACTTCTTCGTAACCATTTCCACTGCACGTCTAACTTTTTTTTTTCCTTTAAAGGAAACAGCAATTAAAAACGTGAAACATGAGGTTAACCTGATATATTTCCACAGACATATTTCACTTTGTGATTGTAAACAAGGGCACTATTTTTGAGAGAACTTTTATTGTTTTATCTTTTCAAGAGGGAATGTTCTAGAAAATATCATATGCAGTAATTTGTCCAAAAATATCAACTTTTCCTTGGTCAACATCTGTACAGTCTTTATTACACAAATGATTTTATCTGGTTTCAATTAAACTACGAATTGTTGAGTAATTTTTTTACACCTGGCTCACTGGATACTGGCAGCATGCTATTCATCAGTGTTTTGAAATGCAGGTATCTTTGGGACACTCAGACTGCATGGTGCACTGTGTGCATGAAGTTAATATATGACAAGTTACATTTAAGATGCATTTAACAATACAAAATATTTGTGTAAGCCAGAGTGTTGTGCAACCTTTGTCCCTTTGCCAAAAATAAGTTAACTGTTAGCTTTTATAACATATGAAGTGTGATAATAAGAAACTTGTGTTTCCATCTTTCCCTTTATTTTTACTGGAATATTTGATTCCCACAAGATTTTGAGCACATACGTGTATTTTAGTAGCTAGATCATTTGATTTTATTTTTGTGTAGTTCTTATGTGGTATTCTTTTATTACATGAGTTTTGGTTTTGGTCTTAATTTCTCTGCTTTAAGAGCCTTTGATTGCTTACAGTTTATTATTCTGAGCTAGAGGTTAATGTGTTGTATTTATTGTTCAAATAATTCAGTAAACGTTTATATTTGGAATGTATGTTTAGCAGATTTGATTTTGTTACGCAATTTAAAGCCCTTTCATAATCTAACCAAATATAGACTAGATTGTCCCTCTCTTGTACAATGATGGAACCTGATGAACTTGAGCTAGCGTGCATGAACAGAAGGAAGTACCGTCTCCTTCTCTCCTTGGTTGCTTTTCAGCTGTCGGTTTTGAATGCTGCTAATTTCTTGGGTCCTTGTGCTCTGCAGGTTAATGGGTACGGTGGGTTTTTTTTTTCTTAAACTTCTGTGAAATAATGCTTTCTTATTTCATTAAAAGAGAAATAAACCAGGAATTGCCAGTTTACCCCAGGACAAATTAAGTTTTGGACCCCATCCCTATTTTCCTATTGACTCTCAGAGAGGCTTTTGTTAATGGTTTCTTCAGGAGACCCCTTAACACAAACTTAGTCTTAGGCTGATGCCTAAGTCTGATGAGTAGAGAAGGGCCACAGAGGTTACATTCGTACTTGTAACTAAGTAGGGCTACTGCATGGATTTGAGTACTGGGCCAGCTATGCAGTGACCTTTTTGAACTAGTCTTTAAGAGACTTTTTGGCTTGGCAGAGGCCCAGCACCATTCCCAGTAGTTAGTTTGGATGCAGGCATCCTGTTTTGAGGCAGGGGGAAATTCAGCTGTGTGGACACAGACCATCCCATGCCATCCTGTTCAATGGCAGGACCAGGGAATAGTTCCTGGCCTGTCTGTTTGCTGGTACATACGTAATCGTGAACACTGCTCAGTTGTGTTGGGCATCAGATCTTAACAAGGTTCACCTCTTTGTGGGAAGCGGAGCATCCACAGTTTGTCAGACGGCTCAAAAATTTTCACACTAGGAAGGAAAAACGTTAAATCGGCCTTACTCTGTGGAGATGGAAAAATGCAATAATGTACAGCTTGATACTTGATCTTAACCTCATAATCTTCTTTGCGCTTCATTCAGCCAGCAGAACTGAAAAATGAAGCTGAGTGACAAAATTATTTTCTCTGTAGTTGGAGCTTGAGCCTAACTCATAAATATGTTACATCCTCCAGGCATTCTCTTCTAAAATACAAATCCTTACTTGGAGGATTTCTTTGTGCTTTGCTGGTGACACTACTGAGTCTTTCCTAAAACAGTCCATTTGATCATTAATTTAATCAAAAGATTGACATATTTCCTTGCTAATGGAATTCAATCTGCTACAGTATTAGTCTTTCATTTTCAATGATGCTTTTGAAATGCCAGCACCTTTGTGGTAACAAATTAACACTTATTAATGAGCGAAACCATCATAAAATGTAAGCATTGCTCTTCCTGTAAAACTCAGTGAGGAGGAAGAGTTTAAAACCTCTGAGTATGTATCAGTTTAAGCAAATAAAATTTCTGTAATATATAATTCAAAGGCATGCATTGCTACTGTGTCTCAGTGGTGCCAAAGATTATTGGGTATTGCTAGAACTTAGTTGATTTTATAAATAATAGCTAACAAAACATAAGTTGGAATAGTTGTGTATAAAACAAGTACACACCTTGGAAACCCTTTCACATCCTTTCTGTGCACACGTTTGTGTGCATCTGCCTTATCTTTCCTTCACTGTGTTCTCTTCCAGACAGAAATCTGTTGGTCTGTACTTTCTTTTGAGAAATCTGATGAGCGTAACAGAACAACAGTATTCGCATTTAACGATTTCACAAATTTATACAGTAGCATAACCATATTTTCATGTTGTTTCTTTTTTCTGCATATGAATTGCATTCAGGTCTTTCACTTGAGGAGCTACAACTTGTTCAGGATCTGGTAATGTACGTAGCTTAGAAGGTTTCTGCAATGTGTCTTACTCTTCATAAATCAGTACTGACTTTCACCCATCAGGAGGCTGTCCGCTAACCAAGCTTTCTTGAGTTAAGCAAACATTTCTTCATTGCTGCCTATTCTAAACTATTCTATGATGTGTAAAATGTCGGTGCTATTCTTTTCCTTTTACAAATAAATTAAACATGCCTAACAGGAGGTATCGGGCATTTTTTGTGGCTATATATTCCGGCTGTTGGTTTTCTGTCTGTTTAGCCAGTTTCTAATCCATAGAAAAATGTTTCTCCCACCCATTATTAGTATTATTAGTGGTCACAGGGGTTGAATGACCTCAGTGGAAGCATTTTGTTGGAGGTTTTTGAATATAGTTATTTTAGATGATGCTCCTATATGTGCATGGTAGCTTTCTTTCTTTCTTCTTTTTTAAATTTTTCAAAATATTTAGTTAAAAAAGTGAAGGAGCTTCCATCTATAAAACATTACTGTTGTTACTTCTGATGTTAGAAAAAGCCAGAAATATATTTTATCATTCTTTTTTAAATTTACATGCTAATAGATGAGTCTGTCTTTTCTGTCATTCCAAAGTTTCTGTTGTTGCATTGTTAGTAACGGGGTCTTTTATTACCTTTGGTGCTCCCCTTTATCACACCTTTAGCGTGACATATGTAGTCCTCATTTTGTGGTTTCATACTTCAACCAAAAGGCCATTTTCCATCTGTTGTGAACAGCTTGCTTGGAAACATTGATGGCCTACAGGTACACAACAGAATGACAGATGTCACGACTCTGTTAGCTTTTTTTTTTTCTATTTTCTAGAAATCTGCTTCTTTCCGATTACCTGCAGCCCTTTGCAACACATCTTAGTGGGAGAAGACATCTCTGCACATGGCCCTTCTGACAAAGACATTGATTGGGATATGAAATTTCAGAAACACTCTTCTCTTTGCCATCTCTTGGCCAGGGAGGGTTTTTTTTTCAGTGTGTGTGAGAAATTACCTGTATGTACAGAAGTACTTTGTTTTAAAAGAAGCCTTACTAAAACAGTGAAAAATGGCAATAGATAGTTTGCATTGCAATGTATCTTTTTATGCATCATAAAATGCAATAAATAATTAGTCACTTACAGAAGAAATGAAAGAAGTCTCGCTTATCAGTGTGTGAACGTCTATCCATAAATACTGTTTTGCAGTAAGACAGAATATGAAGTTTAAAGCAAATTAGCTATTCCTGAATAAGTCATGTAAAACATTCGGATTCTAAACTAAATGTCTTTTTCTGATATAGCTTAATTTGTTTTCAAAATAGTTTAAGATAATGGTTTTGAATGTATTGTAGATTCATTCTGGACAAGAGTGTTCCAACATGAAGTTATTCAGGAATATTTCCATGTTTAGATATTCTTTACTCAGGCTTTAATTTATTAAGTCTGTTGGTCAACATCAGTTCTGTAAGTTATCAAAGCTTTTCCAAAGTTTACTGGCAGAGATAATCCTCTTTTTGAAATACAGTTTCTCGAA